TACGAACTACTATTTTGGTATCTTTGCGAGATTTCATTTGGTAGAGATTTAGGGACTGAGTATTGTAACCACTCCATTTCAATCAGTCCCCACAACGAAAAAATGTGTAACTTCTTTTGTGTGGGAGCCCCGATGTTAACTAAGAAAGAATATAATGATTAATAACAATGTCTTGTCCTTCTGAATAAGGTAGAAAAGAACAAGAAATGCCACCAAAAAGCACAGAAGACAGTTCTGTTATGTGATCAAGATTTTTGGTGGCTTTCCAGAAATCCTTGAAATCGTGGCTCTATATTTCATAATCACACCATCTTACACCTCGATCTGCTGATTTAATCCTAGTTCCGGCTGAAACTATTAAATCGTTCGCAATTTACCTCACATACATGTTCGATTACTTTCATTAGTAACAAAATTCCAAAAAATAACTATATCTATATATTATATTGCTCGATAGGCATCCTTGACAGGGCATCTGCATCTCTATTCGCAGTTCCTGGACGATACTTTACTATGAGGTTAAAATCAGAAAGCTTCGTTACCCAGCGGCGACCTGTAACGTTAAGCCTGGCAGAGGTAAGTACATAGGTTAACGGGTTGTTGTCCGTGTAAACAGTAAAATGTGGCGCATAATATAGATAATCTCTGAACTGTTCAGTTATAGCCCATTTGAGGGCTAATAATTCCAGGTTGCTAGAGTAAAGATGGTAGTTCCTCTCTGCAGCTGTCAGTGTGCAGGATCCATAAGCAATAACTCTTAACTTTCCATCCTGCCTCTGATACAGTGCTCCACCTAGACCTTGCTCTGCTGTATCGGTGTGCAGGATAAATGGTTCAGAATAATTTGGGTAAGCCATCACTGGTGGGTTGGTGATTGCAGTGATTAGCTGCTCCAAAGGGTCCTGTAATTCGCTAGTCCACTTGACTGGTTTACCTGATGAATGTTGGCCTCTTTGCCTAGCCGTTTTCCTCTCTCCCTTCGCGTCTTGGAGAGATGTCCTTTCTCATCTGGTCCCTTCCGTGTTTATTCTATGACCATTCTGGCTTACTATCCTTCCAAGTTAACGGGCTTCGCCCTGGAACAGGTGACATTTGTTAGGTTTCAGTTTAATTCCATGTTTACGAAGACGTCTTAAAACTGTTCGTAAATTCTCCACATGCTCCTCGAATGTCTTGCTATACACAATTATGTCATCCAAGTAGGGTTGCACATCTCATCCCGATTCCCCTCTAAGCAATCTTCCATATACCGTTGAAATTGGGCTGGTGGATTGGAAAGTCCGAGTGGTATACGTGTCCATTCATACAAGCCCCAAGGTGTGATGACGGCCGTAAGATGTCTGCTTCCTTTCTCAATAAAGCCTTGACGATATGCTTTCCCTTGGTCCAATACTGAAAACCATGAGCTTCCTCCAAGGTTGTCAAGTGTCCCTTGAATCCTTGGGATTGGATGGCGGCGGTCTCGCATTGTTTCATGGTTGAGCTCCCTGTAGTCAATACATAGGCGTAATCCTCCATCCTATTTTCGAACGCAGACAAATGGCGAGGCATAGGACGACCGGGACTTAGTTATCTATCCTCGGTTCAGCAAATCTTCTATATAATGCTTAACTTCAGTGTACAATGGGTGAGGCACGGAAGGATAAGTCGTCTGAACTGGTTTAGGGTCTGATAACGTCAGATTCATCTGAAGTCCTTTTATACTCCCGACATCTTCGTCGTCTTTGGCAAATGACTCCGCCCCATCTAGTAGCATGATGATGGCCAATTGTCGCTGCTCTTCAGTCAAATTAACCAGTTCCACTTGTGGCGTCCTTGCAGAACTAAAAGTTTCTTCATTACGAGGGTCAACACCCTACTCTTGTGAGACCGGTTGACTTTCACATTCAGGTGAAACTAAATTGTCCTCTTCATTCGAAGTCCTACTCTCAGGTTGTGGTAGATCTTTTCTCTGGACTTCCAAGGGTGCGACGGATTGAACTAGGTGCAGGCTCCCTAATGGTGTATGACGACCAAGAATCATGTCATGCCTTGTTCGATTGTGAACTTCAATATTCACTTTACGCGGTAATCCTCTAGGCAACAAACGTAGTTGTTCAGACAGTGCCAATTCAGCTGGCCAGACTGGCTCTTGAGCTGGTTCAAACAACACTGGTGTTCTTTCTCCAAGGGGACTGCAGTAGACACGACAAGCTACTGCAACTGTTTGCCCACGTGACACTGTTAAGTTGTTCTTGCCGCTACTTAACAGGCAAAGTCTCTCTACACCTGCACTTTGAACTAGATCAACCAACGCAGTTACACTCTCTTGCTTCACTTCACTGAGAGCTGAACTCATAATCTCTCCGAAGGATTCTGCGCTTTCTCCTCCCTTTTGGTCTGGACTTTTAATTGCTTCTTCGATGACATTATACCCAATGATTTGATGTGGCACTGTGGCATTTGAAGTGGCACTGTGAGTGGGGTGGATGACTGAGCACGTGAAGTTAACTGAAGTTGTACTTCCACCCATCCATTAAACGGTATTGGTCCACCATTAGCTCCTATCAGGTTCAGTCCTGCTTCCTCTCCAGGCAACTCTTCAATATTCCTTGGCTTTAAGGAAGGCAGATATTCTCCAAGCCAACTTTTCGATGCAATGGATACCTGTGCACTTGAGTCCCAAAGGGCCTCGACTGGTACTCCATTCAACACAAACGAAACCTTGCACTTTTTGCCCACAGGGTTGGTTACTGCTACATGTTACTTGGGTGTTAAATGGCGGGCAAATACATAACCATCCTCACGTTCCACACGCGAGCGTTTCTGTGTTTCTAGATGTTCAATCGCCTGACTAAGCCTCTTGGGACTGCTCCGGTGAAGTTTCTGGCACCTCTGTCCACAATACCGAGCCGCTTTACAACCAGAACACTGCTTGAAAACTTGATTCCTCCCCGCAACCCTTTGACAACAAACGCATTTCTGGGACTTGAAGTTTTCACTAGAGTGGGCTACATCCTGTCCAATGTTGGTTCTGAGATCCTAGTGGTGTACAGGTCAATCGCTCGTCTTCGGCTCGATTCATCTCAATAGACTCTTTCAAGGTGGCAAGTTCAGAACGGACCGCCTGTAGTGCAGCCATAAAATTATCTTCCTTAGTATTGCCTCCCTCGGGGCGTTTTATCTTCTTGGTTGGACAGCCCCTTACCCTGTCTGTGAGGCATGCACCTCATAAACTTTTGGATTCTTATGACGAGTAGAAGATCCTAATTTTGACTTTCTCTCAGTTTCTTTCAGAGCAATTTCATTCACTTGCTGAATAACATCTTTATCTTGTACATCTGGGCTTTGGAGGAGTCGCCCCAATCTGGTTCGGATGGCTTCATCCTGAAGACCAGTGTCCACTTCTTGGAGAAACATACCCTGGACCAACGCTGGGTCATACTTTAATTGAGAGTCTGCCTCCTTTGAAGCAAACATGATCGTCTGCCTGGTATCTAGGGCCTTGATTAGGAAACTCTGAGAACCCTCATGGGGCTCTTGAATTAGTGTAGAGGGCTGACGATAAAGTTCTGTAGCACTCTTTTCCTGATAATGGGATCTCAGTATGCGTCTTAAACGAGGAAGAGTCAAACTCTTCAAACCTTCTAAATAACTTCTTAATCTCATCCCTGGGTTAATAGACCTGACCAGAGCATCCACTACTTCTAAGGGCTTGTAGCTTTTTTGCAAAGCACCCTCCATCTGTCTCGCTAAGCGGACAAAACTCAGTTTGTCCTTATGCCCCGGCCCTCCAATCTGACCGATAATTTTCAACTCTCTCTTGAAATCACTCGGTTGAAAATACAATGGTTTTACATCTTCAAGTTTAAGCTTACCCTCTCCAAGCGGCGGTTGAGAAATTCCAAGCTTCGCTTTCTCGTCAACTGCTTCCAAAGGAGGGCAAACAGGCGTTGCTCTATTATTTGTGACTCAAATTCTTCCAGGTGTTCCATTTTAGCTGCCTTTGTACCTTTCAATGTGCCTTCGAGCTGTTTTTCGATCAACCTTAACAAGTCCCCTTCTATTCTTCTCCTTCGTGTCATCATCACTGCATCCCAGAGTTTCAGCGATCTCCTCTAGGTCCTTAACTCCTAACTGGCAGAGATGACTCTGCATCTGTATCTGGACTCCTCAATTTCCATTGTGTATGTTCCTGCTGAGGCTTGCTTCCTTCGATCGATTTACTTTTGCCCTTTGACTTCTTTCATTGCAATCCGCCGACCATTACGTAAAAACTTTGCTTCGACTTTTACGTTTAGTTTACTCCCGGAGAGGCCTCCAAATGTTACCGACCACGGAAAGAGAAGTCGAAGTTGTAGGTGTAAAAGACAAACCTTCAAGGCAATATGGCGGACAAAACGAACCTCGTGCATTTATTTTTCTTCGATGACACCTCGCGACGAAACGAAATACGTTTAAGGCATGGGAGGAGGGGTGGTGTCGGTTTCTTCATTTCTTATCCTCAGTATTTAGCACCGTGTGCAGTTAACTGCGTAGTCAATTCTTTCAGATTATCGATCAAATGCTCATACTGATAATATTGAGCGCGGTCTCATAGCTACAAATGTATGGCCCTTATAGATCACATTTCTGACTACAAAATACGAAAACTGTACATAACGCTGGGCGAAAAATGCAAGGAAATCTATCGAACATGATATGACGAAAATATTCAGGAACGTGTTGGAAAGACAAAAGCTTTAGCTATGAATAAAATCGGTCAGTTTTCAGGCTAAATTGGTTTGACTCGTAACAAAAAAAAAAAATAAATAAATAAAAATACAATGGCTACCCATTTCGGTTGTTTGATTGTTCTACAAGCATGTCAAGAATCCCGTATTTCTCACATTTACAAGCTGCTGTGATTGCTTTTTGTTTTTGCTGACGACATGGCGAGTTGGTCTAAAATGATATCGAGAGTGATATTTTCCTGAGCTTCAGGAGACATCATTTCTGTATGAGCTATAAAAGACCTCCATAAAAAAAGTCGAGGAACAAAAAAAAAATGTATATTAACAGTCCCCCCAAAAAATGTCATTATTTTATTACCCTATATTGGTCTCCATAGTAATCATATCACTAAGCGTCTAAAATCTTGTGTAAATGGTTCCTACTCTTTTGTTAATGTCAAAGATATTTTTCAAAACACCCGGCGCATCAAATCCTTCTTCCCATACAAGGACCGTCTAACCGATCACAATTAGTCAAAGTCATTTATAAAGCTAGTTGCTGGGACTGCAATGATTTTTGTATCGTGAAAACGAAGCGAAGACTTCAAGACCAGAAAACGGAACAGTTCAAGGCCCTTTTGAAACATGATCACTCTTCTGCTATTGCTGATCACGTTGAAATGGGACCATTTTGACATTTTGGCGTCCGGCAAGACTGACTACCATTGTAAGGTTAAGGAGACCTTATTTATTCAAGAGTTGCAACCAGCACTGAATGCCAATGTCAGCAGTGAAAAGCTTTTACTTTATTAAAACGCTTTTCCACTGTGTCACTTTACAGACAGTTTCCGTTTGCCCGCTATAGAGCGCTTCAGGGCTTTAATGGCAGAGATAAACATAGCCCGCTGACTCCGCAGCTTTTCTCGTCCTCCCAAACCTCTCCTTCTGGTTACATAAAAATCGACAGGAATTCGCACTGCAGTTTTCTACAACGCGTTAGAAAAGCGCAAAATGTTTTTTATAAGTTTTAGAAAACACTGGGGCAAAAAGAAAAGAACATAACTCATTTATATCGATTCTCAAAGTTCAACTCTCTTTGCTCACTTCATGCTTATGTCAACAGCTCTGGCCGGTACCTCTATGTTTCTATCGATTTTTAGAAGTACAGCTTTAAGCGACCGTGTTCTTACTGGATGTTTTCTCATGGTTTTATGTTATACGATTTTTATTTGATTGAAAGTTATTATTTTAGTCTTGTTTTAGCAATTCTTTTGGTTCAACGTTTTCACACCAATTTAAAAAACCAATTTAACACAATATGCAGACAATACCGAGAGACGTTTGCTAAATTTATGATATTCTAAAAACCATTAATACGATATCTGGAAACTTATGACGAAATATCGTTTCTCGGTAGTGATAATCCTTACCTTTAACAGAAGTTAAACCTTAATTTTTGTACACAGGCCCAAAACCCGATATTATTGAACGATGACATCGGAAGAAATGGCTTATGAAAGACAGCAGTTCACTAATCATCATATAGTTTTTAATACAACTTGGACCATGCTCACCACCTGGTGCATGTTAATGTTATTTGTATTGGTGATAGGACTGAGTGGAGTCCAATTCGGTTTGCAATCATACGAGTGATAACAAAACCTGACGACAAGGGGAGTGGGAGTCCGATTTGTTCATCACGAGTATGATTACAGACCGAATTGGACGACACGAAGTCTTACCACCAATTAATCATAAAAATTACAATTTCCGAGAAAAGAAGAATACCAAGGTATGAAAGAAAGGGGAAATTTGCATTAAAAGACTGACAGCTGAGGAGGCGTAAATTGTTTAATGTCGCTCTGAAATTGACTACAGTCAAAATAGATATGCTGGTTGCTGAGTGATGAGCAAAAAACAGGTCTTATGTCAGTCAAAAACGCAACCATGCATGAAAAACGCATAACTGCGCGGAAAAACTTATCAGGATTTCGTAAAAATCAGCCCGAACGCTAAACACGGCAGTTTTTCTTGCAAAGTACGATGTTTTTGAGCTGAGTCGATCGGCAGCTCACTTCAACCTGTAAACTAATCAGAGTCAGAGTCAATGATAATTCTTCGTGCTTCGTGCCAAACTTCCTCCCATGTTCACATGGGACTATGTAAATCACAAGCCAGCAATTTTCTATTTCCGTTCACTGTTATTTAAAGTTAAAGCCTTCAGAAGTATTTTAAATTAACTTTGGTAGTTTAGTTATTTTGGTTTCAACATACCTCATGTCTCCATGTTTCTTTATGATCGCACAAACGAGACAATTTCCAACGATGTTTATCACGACGAGTATAGAGTGTACCGTTGCTATGGCAATGCCAGATGATTGAAGCATGACTGAATGTTGTCGATGTTACTCAGTCGCGAGGCCTTCTAAGTTTAATAAAGAGAAAAGGAACAATGAATTTCTGAGAGCTTAGGTAATCACTGGTTTAATGCGAGAGGTAGTAAAAGTGGAGAGGAAACATCAGACATTCATAAGATTGTATGCCACCTTATCGTTTGATAATTTTCTAATCACGTAACTTAGTAAAGAGGCACATCAGTTTTACGAAGTACGCTACATTGTCTTTTTGTCAGTTACAGGGGCGCACGTGTTCAATCTTTAATCTTGAATCATTCTTTTTACACGGTAAAAACATCAGGTAGAAAAAATTGCATAATAACGACTAAAAATCCAAATCGTAACCTTATCTTAACTTACATTAATATGCCACTTAAGAAAAATCCTGGTTTCCATGAATGCCGTGTTTAAAAATTATCTTGTCCAATGAACCAGACTCTCTAATGTTACAGGGTAAATTGTTTCAAAATGCATGCAGGCATTTTCTGAGGAAGTGCGAACTATTGATATCAGCTTAGCTAACGATTGAGTAGATTTGCCGCCATGTTGCATTATCTCGCCTCAGAGGCAAAACGTCCTTCTTTCGGTCATTCAGGAAAAAAAAA